TTTTTTTTTTCTTAAATCAAGATCCATAATTTCTTGAGAAAGACAAGACATATTTTGCAATGTTAAGGAAAGGGATATAAAGTTATAAAGTTTTCCAGCTAACAATATGCAATACAACCAACAAATGCACATGAGTAAAACATAACTTTCTTTGCAGCAATAATAATGGAGTTTATGGTTAAACTGCCTCGTTCTGATCAGGTTTTTCAAAATGTCTGTCATGTTGCAGGTTACAGGGAGATTATTATGCAGTCATTGCCACAGATCTCTGTCCTGGATGGATTGGACCTACAGGGAAATCCGGTAGATCTAGATCCAGGCAGTCCCTGTGATATCCCTGGTCTGGAGGACTATGTGGACCTTCTGTTGTCCTCAGATACGAGTCACAATGAAAATGTAATTCTTGATACCTTCTCTATTAATTTGACAAATGTAACTCTTATATTGCCTGATTACAGTAACCATGACACCAAGTATCTTTTCAAACTTTAAGCTGTATTTCACAAGGAAGATGGTCTTTTGCATGAGACGCCTTGCCACACAGAAGAACACATTCAAATAATGTACCACTTTCATACATAGCACAATATTTTAAGACTTGAGAATCATAAGGGGAAATGTTTCTTGAAATGTGACACATAATGATTTTGTTTCATTTAGTCTTTTACTTTTCTGCATTTTTCATTATCTACACCTCTCACCTTTTGAAAGTGTAACAGACAAATAAGCTTCACATTACTGAATAAGTATTAAGTTGAAAAGTAGCTTTATTGCTGAAAAATAAGTGGATTTATACCAGAATAGCAAAAGTTTGGGATTCTGAACATTTGAATAAAGACATACATTGATTACAGCAGATGGTAATTTACATAATTTGTCTCATATGCAAAATTAGCTGGAGTGGAGATTAACACAGGCACAGTAGTTACTTTGATTTAAGACCAATTCTTTAATCAAGTGTAAAAAACAAAAATAATTTCCATTGCAGCGTAGAGGAGATGGCCCTCTCACCACACCCCACATTGACAAGGTGCTGACCCAGTTTCATCAGCGGGTTGCCTCTGAAGAAATCACAGATCCAGCTGCACAACCGGATCGCCAGAGCTACCACACAGTTCACTCCACTGATCCTGCTGACCCTGTTAATGAACAACGCATCAGGAAACTGGAACACCAGATGTCCCAGCTCATCCAGCAGGTGCTTATTCAACAATGCCGAAAGCTTGCGTCATTTATTATTAGTATTTGTGTCAGGTATGAGGTGAGAGTACGTGAAGAGATAAACACACAGTTAAGTTTTTGAAACGTAGAAACTTAAAGTATTTGTTCTGAATAGTTGCTATGGTGTCA